CTTTGTCAAAACCTTGACTGGAAAGACCATCACGTTGGAGGTCGAAGCGTCAGATACTATCGAGAATGTCAAAGCGAAAATTCAGGATAAGGAGGGTATCCCTCCGGATCAGCAAAGATTGATCTTTGCTGGAAAGCAGCTTGAAGATGGCCGCACGCTTTCTGACTACAACATTCAGAAAGAGTCAACTTTACATTTGGTTCTTCGTCTACGCGGTGGGATGCAAATTTTCGTCAAAACCTTGACGGGAAAAACCATTACTTTGGAGGTGGAGGCTTCAGATACGATTGAGAATGTCAAAGCCAAGATCCAAGACAAAGAGGGAATTCCTCCAGATCAACAGAGATTGATCTTCGCAGGCAAGCAGCTGGAAGATGGACGCACCTTGTCAGACTATAATATACAAAAGGAATCAACTCTGCATTTGGTATTACGTCTTCGCGGAGGTATGCAAATTTTCGTCAAAACTCTCACTGGAAAAACTATTACATTGGAAGTCGAAGCATCAGACACAATTGAGAACGTCAAAGCTAAAATTCAGGACAAAGAAGGCATCCCTCCGGATCAGCAGAGATTGATCTTTGCTGGAAAGCAGCTTGAAGATGGTCGCACACTCTCTGACTATAACATTCAGAAGGAGTCAACTTTACATTTGGTTCTCCGACTACGTGGTGGCATGCAGATTTTCGTCAAGACACTCACCGGTAAAACCATCACATTGGAAGTCGAGGCATCAGACACAATTGAGAATGTCAAAGCTAAAATTCAGGACAAAGAAGGCATCCCTCCGGATCAGCAGAGATTGATCTTTGCTGGAAAGCAGCTTGAAGATGGTCGCACACTCTCTGACTATAACATTCAGAAGGAGTCAACTTTACATTTGGTTCTCCGACTACGTGGTGGCATGCAGATCTTCGTCAAGACACTCACCGGTAAAACCATCACATTGGAAGTCGAGGCATCAGACACAATTGAGAATGTCAAAGCTAAAATTCAGGACAAAGAAGGCATCCCTCCGGATCAGCAGAGATTGATCTTTGCTGGAAAGCAGCTTGAAGATGGTCGCACACTCTCTGACTATAACATTCAGAAGGAGTCAACTTTACATTTGGTTCTCCGATTACGTGGTGGAATGCAGATCTTCGTCAAAACCCTCACTGGTAAAACCATCACATTGGAAGTCGAGGCATCAGACACAATTGAGAATGTCAAAGCTAAAATTCAGGACAAAGAAGGCATCCCTCCGGATCAGCAGAGATTGATCTTTGCTGGAAAGCAGCTTGAAGATGGTCGCACACTATCTGACTATAACATTCAGAAGGAGTCAACTTTACATTTGGTTCTTCGACTACGTGGTGGCATGCAGATCTTTGTCAAGACCCTCACTGGTAAAACCATCACATTGGAAGTCGAAGCATCAGACACAATTGAGAATGTCAAAGCTAAAATTCAGGACAAAGAAGGCATCCCTCCGGATCAGCAGAGATTGATCTTTGCTGGAAAGCAGCTTGAAGATGGTCGCACACTATCTGACTATAACATTCAGAAGGAGTCAACTTTACATTTGGTTCTTCGACTACGTGGTGGCATGCAGATCTTTGTCAAGACCCTCACTGGTAAAACCATCACATTGGAAGTCGAAGCATCAGACACAATTGAGAATGTCAAAGCTAAAATTCAGGACAAAGAAGGCATCCCTCCGGATCAGCAGAGATTGATCTTTGCTGGAAAGCAGCTTGAAGATGGTCGCACACTCTCTGACTATAACATTCAGAAGGAGTCAACTTTACATTTGGTTCTCCGACTACGTGGTGGCATGCAGATCTTCGTCAAGACCCTCACTGGTAAAACCATCACATTGGAAGTCGAAGCATCAGACACAATTGAGAATGTCAAAGCTAAAATTCAGGACAAAGAAGGCATCCCTCCGGATCAGCAGAGATTGATCTTCGCTGGAAAACAACTTGAAGATGGCCGTACACTCTCTGATTACAATATTCAGAAAGAATCCACTCTGCATTTAGTTTTGAGGCTTCGTGGTGGTATGCAAATTTTTGTCAAAACTTTGACGGGGAAAACTATTACTCTGGAGGTAGAAGCTTCGGATACGATCGAAAACGTTAAAGCCAAGATTCAAGACAAAGAGGGAATTCCTCCTGATCAGCAAAGACTGATTTTCGCGGGCAAACAACTCGAAGATGGACGTACTCTGTCAGATTATAATATTCAGAAAGAATCTACATTACATCTTGTACTCCGTCTTAGAGGTGGAAATGTCTAATATTTTCTATAATAATTCTACAATTGTGATTTTTTTTTTTGTTAAGTACTCTGCGCTAAATATTTTAATTCTATTTATACAACTCTGTTAATATAAAATAAAATTCCCTTTATATTATAATACAGTTCAAATTTTATTTATTTAATATTGTGAAAATTTTGTGAGAATATTGACAAATAAAGAATACGTTTTTTGGTAATTATTCTGTACATCTCTTGTGTGTCTCAAACATTATCATAACCTCTTAATTTATGACTATTTTTATTTACAGAAATAATTATTAAAGATTGGATTAAAGGTATAATTAAAACATTTCTTTGTGATCATATTCGTATAAATTAAAAATTTAAAGGAGCATATCTGTGTGATAAAATCTCATTAATATTTTTTATCTTTAATAGTCGTTGAGTATATATTTATTATGTAAACTTTACTTGTATTCTTTTGAATATTTCTATTGAGGGGAAATATAAATATAAAAACTAATTGTGTAACACAAAATAATTAAACATTAATATATATTTCTATTTATTTTTATATTAAATTATATACAATTCTTTAAAATTTGTAGCATAACATTTAGAAAAAAATAGAAAGAGAATATTTCTATAATACCAGAAATAATAAAACCTATAATTAATACTGCAATTATTATCATTATTTGTATTGAATAATAATTATCATAACTGTTTTCTCATTACTTCTACTATTTAAAAATAGGGTTTTTTTCTTTTTTTTTAACGATATAATAATAACTTGCAGTAATAATTATCTTATTAGTTTAGTTATTGATGCTACTTTAAATTAATATTACTGTAATTTTAATTTTACAATTTATGAGATATTAACGTCGGTAATTTATCAACAATTGGTTGGTTTATCAGCAATAGATTGGTAACTTGTTAATTGTTGGTAAGTTATCGACGTTGATATCGCGAATTGCAGTTTCGAATTTTTGTTCGTACTACTACCTCTTTGTTCATTATATTTTTCTAATACTTTTCTAATATTTCGGAATTTAAATGTTAGCAGTTCGCACTTTATCGATGTCACTAAATTACTAACATTGATGATTCTTGGTTTATAGATTTAAATTTCGTTTGTGCTATTTCTTGGTTTTTTTTAAATATTTTTCTAATATTTCAGAATTTAAATGTAGGTTAGCAGCTCGAATGTACCAAAATCGATAATTATACTGTTTGGTGTCATTAATTCGCGTACCGTTTATATAATTCGAATATAGTTAATAATTAATTATAATTACAAAATAAATTAATAATTAATTATCAATTAATTAATTAATAATTCATAACTAAAATTTTTAAAATTTTTTCTTATATTTGTATGTTTTCGAATTGCGAAAATTTAAACTCTCAAATATATTGTCAAAATTAGAGTATAAAGGAGCCTAGTTTTGAAATATGTGATACATGAACACTACAATTATAATTCGAAGAACTTTAACTTTATTTTACATACTCTCTCTGTCATTTTTACATTATAAATAATAAGAAATTCTGATAAAATAAGAAAGAATAAATTAGCTTGCTACAATTTAGTGTTTATAAATAATACAGTGAAAACGTGCAAAATAACACGGAAAAAATTATATTTTTTTATAAAAATTAAAACAAGAGATAGAGATAAATTGGCAATTAGCTTTTGGTTTCGTATAAAAACAACTTGACTTGAAAATGATATTCCTGGCGATATCCTGGGGCGTGATATCAATTCAATCGTATATAGTTTCCGGGACTAATTGAGCGTGTAAATTATATTATTCCTCGTTTGTATAAAATAAAATACAAATTAATATTACATAACAAAATCACACGGATATTTTCCAATAATAAGTCTAACAAGTATTATTTATAATATTATAAAATAATAAGCAATTTTTTCCTTTTTCTTTTTCTTTTTTTTTTTTTATAAAAAGAGAATCAAATGACCGAAAAACGGTGGTTGTTATCGATATACAGATATTTCATATCTTATTTTCGCGAACGAAATAACGATCGTCGTATAACTGTGCTCTGTTGCTGCGTGTTTCACAATTATTCGCACTTCAATAGCAGCAGTGAGCACGCTGGGCGAGAAGATTAAAATTTTCATTTTTTTCGCGCCAGTGAAACACGATGTATTTTTTTCCGGGCCATACATCGCGCAACATCGATAGCCACCTAAAAAGACAAAAAAGTAACATGTAATTTTGATAACGCACATTTTCCTCTCATTTTGGTATATCGTGTCTCTTTCGAGGAAAATGAGTGTACAATTATTATCGCTTGCGAAAAAAATGGCAGACTCATAATTAACTGAGGGAGGAATTATTTTTTATTCAGTTATATGTAGCTTTAGAAAAAAAAATTTCACTCTCTGCGATATAATAGAACGATATAATAGAATATATATATTTTTTACAACTATGCGTTAATTGCTTTCGAAATGTCGCGCTTTCAGGTAAGTAAGAATTTTGCCGCGATATATTTATATTCTTTCCACGACGATTACCTCGATCCCGCTTTGACGACCCCGGTTCCGGTATAATATATACATACACATTACAAAAGTGTTTATACAAGCGCATTTGAGCGTGTTTCTGTGCGTGTATGTGTGTGTAAGGTTAATGGTGTAAAAAAAGGTATTTACATGAGAGGCTGGGGCAACTCGCGCTCTGTGTATCATACGTATCAGCAAGTCGTGTGTACCTTAGGTAGGGCTGTGAGAGAGAAGTCGCAGGGAGTACCGTGGAAACACACGGGACTTGTATTCAGTCCAACTCGATCCTCGAACTGGTCCCGTGTGCGTGCGTGCGGCGTCAGTCACAGCATCCGCGTGGTACTTGACATTTCGTGCGTTTCGCGTCGCAAGTTGTATCGCGAGATAAGCTACCCCGCTAAATAATTAGTAATACGAGTCGCGTTTTTCCGCGGACAAGGCAACCGAACTCCACTTTATGATATATATTTTTTTTTTTAATTCCGCGAGGAGAAAAGTCTAAATTTTCACGGCACTTAAAATATAAATTTGTAGAAAATCACGGAAATGTGTTCAATCGCGTATATCGTTTATTTTCAAAATAGATTTGGGGAAAATCTGTCGATGAACATCATATATATATATTTCATCGTTATAATTTTTATTAGAAACATTAAAATTCCAGACCTTTAGATTTCGTGAAAATTTTAACGAATAAAGAATTTATTTCGACATTTCGAATAATTTCGATTAATATAGGATAATTATATATACACTATGCATACATAAAATAATTATATAATAAAACAATAAATTATATTATATATATAAATATATAAATATACAGGGTGTCCCAGAACTGGCGGGAAAGTTTTTAATGGCAGATTCCTGGTATCATTCGGACACGATTTTTCCTCAGCGAAAATGTTGAGACACCAATAATTTTCGTATTATAAGCAGTTGAAAATAAAAGGCTTTTTGGAAACTGAGCCTTGTGGAAATAAAATATTAACCAAACTACATTCTTCAATTAATTTTAAGTAGAGTTTGTTTTAATAGAATTTTAATATAAGGCTTAGTTATATAAAGATACATAATAATAATAAAAATTGGGAACATGCTAAAATTGATGGTCTCCCTCAACATTTTTACTGAGGAAAAATCGTCTCCAAATGATACCAGAAATCTGCCATTAAAAACTTTCTCGCCAGTTCTGGAACACTCTGTTTAATTATATACAAATAAAGTAAATGTACTTCTTTGTCACATCTACTCAACGCTTTTTGTGCACTGTTTTTGTTACATCAAATTGTAAACATGAAGCCGATGAGACGAATAGCGATCCAAAGGAAACACGTGAAACACACATGAAAAGGTCGAAAGGATTTGGCTTGGTTTCTTTTTCGGAGCGGACTCGGATTGATAAAGAACTCGACACGACGGAGGGTTGAAGGATCGTCGATACGAGATCGAAGCGTGCTGGTGAGCGAGACAACAGATCCATCAGCGAAGATGAACGGCTTGACGGTTTGCTTGGTGCTCCTCCTCTCGATGATGCCGGGTGAGTCTGCAAGATAGAGAGAGAGAGAATGAGAGATTAGATTCCTATTAATTAAAATCCTATTAATTAAAGTCCTGTTCTTTTAAATCTCAAACATATGTGTGCCTTCTAATTATGCTATATTCGCGGTCTGAAGATTAATGTAGATCTCCACAGTCTGCAGGGTTTGCTGCATGTTATCCAAATAAAATTATATAGATGATCATCTAGATGGAACGTTGGTATTATCTTATATAGATAATCTTTATATAGATAATAAAAATATGTATTATTTATATAGATCTGCATCTTATAGATGACAAAATGTGTTATCTTTATCTATAATTATTTAGAGTAATATTCAGATATTTTGGTTTAGAGTCATAGCACATAAAAATACTTAAGCAGTAAAATAAAAATATGAATGTATTCTTATATCCCTTTTATAATTTACATTTTTTTAAAACTGTTTGTATGAGCAGTCTTAAAAATATTATCTGGAAATTATCTAGATGAATCACCATATAATTTTATTTTTTATCTAGATATACTGAAAATGCTGACAGTCTGTGATATTTGTGAGTGACTATTAAATTTTATTCCTATACCAGAATTTTAATTTCATTAGTTCGAAAAAATATTGGACTAAGATTATAATCATATGAAATAAATAATTATCAATGAAATGGCAATCTTTAAATTTTATATCTGATTTTAGTTTTTACTTTTTATGCTTGAATTTCCCTTTTATCTAACATCAAGCAACACTCGAAATATTAAAAATAACATGATTTCGTATCAGAAATTAAATTTTCACAGCTGACGCTCTGATTGTTATCAATCAAATGATTAACTAAATGGTGAAATAGAGAGCACAATTTTCAATTAAACGCTCATCAGCCGAACCCTCGCAATAAATGAAGAAATAAACGAAACAGGTTAATTAAATAACTAAATAAAGAGACAGATTTGAAAAATCGAGAAAAAAAAGGAGAAATAAATTTTGATTAAAGTATGTATTAATTTAATTGTTTTAACATACTCTCTGTTCGTGTTTTAATCTCTTTCGATCGAATGGAAATTTGCTCCCTGAAATTACTCGCACAAAATGTTTTGAAAATCATGTATAAATTAAAAGTAATTGAGAGTAAAAAAGAATACTTTAGTGTAACTTCACGAGCGAAATGTATACGCTTTACGTCGAAACTTTTTGCCGGCAAAGGGGTCTTGCGCAAAAATTAAACTCCGGAAATAGGAACAAAAACATTGGACGAGTTGTTAAATATGCTCGTGCGTCGCATTCAGCTCAATGTTCGTAAATTTGTTATCTTTTTTCCGTCATGTATCGTCTAACTAGCAACAGAGCACGAATTATTATTATTACTGTCGACTTTAATATCGCGAACTACGAATATAGCCATGTGGAATCTGTATACCAGATTGGCATAGAATGCCTCGCGACACCAGCGTTTTCGCTTATAAATTCCTCGGTCAATTTTACGACAGATAAAATCTCGCGTGCTCAAATAATTTTCCTCTTCGATCAAGTGACCGATTTCGAGTCTGACAAATTAAACTCTGCCTGTCAAAAAATCAAATATCCAAATAAGAGATTACCTTAAATCGACTCGCACGCTTGCGATGCTTTAATTTGGGAAAATCTCTATTTTTGCATAAAATCTCTTTCCATAAAAATTCGCGAGTTTCGTCGAGGATCGAGCAAGAGAATCTTCCGGATATGCATTTCGTCTCCGTATTGTCTCCGAATATGTCAACATCGATACACGCGTGAGAGGGATACATCGTGAGTTCGACGCAGGTTTTTACGATCATTTCTGTGCGGTGGCACAGCTGCGAGCCAGAAGCCGCGGAATCCAACGTCTTTCGGAGGACATAATCCGATTTCTTTCCCCGATGTCGAAAGAGATATCGTCCTCGTCTCGAAACGAAGGCCTTTCCTCGCTTTCCTCCTTTTCGTCGCGTCTTTCTTTCGCGTTTTCTCGCCGACTCGGGGGCTAAATATAGAGAGGCATCGCAAGAAGGGTCCCTCCAACTATGACGGGTCAGAAGTAACTTGTCGCTATTAGCGGACGGGATATAGGGTCGAAAACGCGGCGAGAAGATAAACTTAAACGCGAACGATGTACGGAATTAGGACGTCGCTATGGAATTTTATTCAATTTTCTCTCCGCGTTGCGACTTTTCGCAAAAATAAGTATACGCAGTGTTTCTAAAACTAGGAGTCAAAATAAGGAATAAAATAAGTCCTATAAACATGGGTTCAAATAATTTTGCACAGCGTATTAATAGTTCATTTTTATGTGGGTTTTGAACATTTGATTTTGAGAGGGAGGTTTATAGAATATAGTATTTATAGAAATTTTTTTTTTATTTTGACCCCTAGAATACGCTCTTAATATCTCTGACATAGTTTTAGAAACTTCCTATATAAGATGTTTATCAGAATTTTGCGAGATAAATCTATCTGGGGAAAATAATAATAAGGACTTTGCAACTTGGGGTTCTTCTTTTATCGTGTTTTATTTCCCAATAGAGATCTAATAATGACGAAATTGCGAGTTTGCGCGAGGAGATTGGTTTCTTAATTTGTTCAAAGAACTGATTATTTTCGCGCGAGATCTACCATATATATCTCGCGCGATAATAATCAGTTCTTCGAACGAATTATAAAAGCTAATCGATATGTATCGTGAGAATGCAAATTCAGTTAAAATCGGGCAAAAACACGCCGATGCTGATTTCGAGATTTGCAAAATGGTGGGCGAAATGTGGGGAAAAATGAAGAGTTTCACGATCGAACGATAATTTATCGCGTGATACATCTTTTCACTCTCGACTATCTGTCTATTATCAGACTTTACATTAGTTGAAAAAGTAATGGAAAAATTCGCAAAAAGGAAAAGATAGTATTGCAAATTATATATAAGCTTGAAAATGGAACACGTTATGTCATAACTTAAATGAGAAGAATAATAAAATAGGTAAAAAGTAATAAACAAGACGGAAAAACAATATATGCTGATTAATATACATATTTAATATAAATGTAATATTCAAAACTATTTGGTTTAATAGTGAAAATATTTTCGCAATCGGATCACAATTATTTTTTTTAATTTGGAAGGGGAGATTTTAACCCGAAAAACACCCTTAAAAATCCGCCAGTGTACCTATACATATATGTATGTATAATATATAGGGATAATTTAATGATAGTAATAAAAATTAAAAAGTGTAGTGAAATATTAAAGTATATTTGAAAGAAAAATAAAGTCTGTTTAGATTAATTACCTTAGAGATAGCAGGCTAATATTTTTAAAAGATCTTATTGATAAAAATGATTGCGACCTCGATATTGAATTAAAATAAAAATTAAATGAAAAAGTTTAATATTTTAGTCTGTTTGATTATTAATTCAATTTAAAACTCCCCATAAGCTCCTCATAACTATTTATTTTTAAAATCAATTTTGAATAAGTAAGCTAACTTTTAAGCTTTTAGGTTCATACCCTGAATATGGAATTTTTGTTAACTTTCTCTTATTTATTTAATTTTAATCTTTTTAGGAGAAATATTTTAATCAACATTTATGATATCTGTTTTTATTTGATTTTATATTTGACTTTATCTAATAACAAATCTCACAATCAGTGTTTCGTTCAACCTATCGATCTTGTTTCAATAATAACTGCGATTACATATTTTGTTTCTTTTTTCTAATTATATATATTTGGTTGAAATAAATTCATCCTTATATATATATATACATATAACACTATATATTATATAACTATATACATACTAATAGACAGGCAGTCGAGAGTGAAAAGATACGTTGCGCGATAAATTTTCCCTCGTCGATTGTGAGAGTTCTCATTTTCCCGAGCGTTTTCCCGCATTTCGCAGATCTCGAAATCAGCATCGGCGTTTCTGTCCGGTTTCAACTGAATTCGCTTTCTCACGGTACATTGATTCCTTCAATTCGCTCTACGGGCGGACTCCATTTCCCAAATTCCGCTTCGTTGTTCTCTCCACTGTCATAGCAATTTCTCTCTCGTGTGTCCGGCTTCGCAAGTTCAAAGCAGCGTATCGCTCCCGAGCTCGTTCATCGTTGCGCTTTGTCCTTAAAGATCGTCGAAATAATATGGCACGTGGAGAAGACTTTTTGAGCGCTTTCCTTTTTACGATTCCATTCGACGAGTAGCTTTTCTTAAATGCGTTTCTTTATTTGCGATCATGCGAGAAAAGGGCTGCATTTATCGGAGAAGTGTTATCCTCTCGTGACACGCGATGTAGAAAATGGAAGAATCACTATTAACGCGAAACGAAAAAATTCCGATTTAACGATCAAATAAATCTTAAAGTATATTTCTTTATCGAACCGTCTTTTATTTCTAAAAAAAATCTAAATCTAAATCCAACTGAGAATTCGTTGCGAGAATTTAAGGACGAAGAGTAACGTTGTCAGCTGTTTAAGATTGTTACAATAATTGTTGATGATTCGTAATAAAAATTGTTTCGCGATTTTGATCTCTTATTTTTTTTCTTGTCAAAAAGCGAAAGCAAGAGGGAGCATTTATCCCCCTTGGAATTCGTAAAATAATTAAGCATTTGCTCTCCTTGTGAATGAACACTGGAATTTGTGCAATTTTATTTAATATAAAAATATTAAAATAACAAAATAATAAAAAAATGAAGAAAAAATAATAATAAGAAACAAAAAAAGTGAATTATGCCCTTCCCTGGAAAAAATCCTGCGGACGCCCATGGCACCGAGTATACAAGTTGGCGAGCTGTGATATTATGGTGATCATATTTTCTCCATCGAGTTCTGGCGAGTTGTAACGAGCTGCGTTGTTTAACGCGTTATTTTTCATCGGAATCGAGTTATCAGTCAATGGAACGCAAACATTGCGCGAAATGTTTGCGGTTCGATCGACCGGACAGAAACTTTGAACATGCTCTGTAGAGTTAACAGAAGAGCGATTTGGATAACGACA